TAATTTTTTTTTGTTCTACTTTTTATATTTTGGAACGTGAATACTCTGGGCATTCTAAAAAGGCCTTTGTGCTAGTGATTGATGTGATAAATATTTTTCTAATTCACTTGGAAATAAATACAAGAGCAATAGGAAAATGTATTTCTAATCATGTCTTGTCATCTATCTTTTGCTCTTGTGACAATATTGTCCACATTTCCTTTTTTAAGTGTACAGCCAGAAATTTGATGAGTGATTTAATATTAATAGAATGTACTTTGTACCAAGGTAGCAGTTTGCAGTTAATCTCTTCTTTCTCCTGTTTGATAGTGAAGGAATTCATGCTGCCATTAACTATGTAGTATATGCCAACTGGGATTCCTACATGTTAATATGCACGTTTTTTAGTATAGGCTTACATGATCTGTGTAGAAGATCAAGTCGAAGTGATTGGCTAGTTCTGTGCCTTTTCTCAAAGTACATGGATTTTGTAGAAAATCTCAGTAAGTTTAAATATGTGATTATGGTCATTAGTTCTAGTGACAAAGTTATGAGCAGTATGAACAAGTTAGCAGGCGTTGGCATCTCAACGTATTTCCTGATAAGTTCTCAAAGACGTTGTGTTCAGATGTTCCTTTCATAAGAGTTAGGGATTTGAATATCTGCTGCATAAATTGGTTTTGAACCTACGAGCCAAGTTGTCTGTTTGTCAAAATTGGACACTTGAATCAATTTCTGTTCCTACCTTAATCCAGTGTTATGGGAGCAGTTGAAGGTACACAGATTCGAAGGGTCTTCTTTATCATACAATCTTATTTCTGCACGTCTGTTTTTTTTCAAAACTTGATGCATCTCAATGCTACTGTGACTAAGATAAATGGTATACAGATGTTAGTGACATACAGATCTAGCTGCTTTTTGATTGCTTTCTCTTGCTCCTTGAAAAAAAATCAGTTCACTCCAAAGACCAAGGTTGTTTTTACCAAGACTCTTAAATAATACCCATGATTTAATGAACACTCCCAACTAAGATTTTTTTAAAAATGAATCTTCATGTTCCATGTCCTACTTGGTTTCCAAAGCAGTTTTTTTAATGTTGCTGAACGAACTTGAATAGACTGGGACATTTTTCCCAGGAGAATCAGATGCTGAGGGCTGACCTTATAGATGTTTACAAAATCATGAGGGTCATGGATAGGGTGAACAGCCAAGGTTGTTTTCCTAAGGTGGGGAAGTCCAAAACTAGAGGGCATAGGTTTAAAGTGAGAGGGGAAATATTTTAAAAGGACCTGAGGGGTTATGTTTTAAAACAGGAGGTGGTGTTATGGAATGAGCTGTCGGAAGCAACGGAGGTGGGTACAATCACAACATTTAAAAGGCATTTGGATGTGTCTATGAATAGGCAAAGTTTAGAGGGATATGAGCCAAATAGTGGCAAATGGAACTAGGTGAGATTGGGATGTCTGGTTGGCGCAGATGAGTTGGACTGAAGAGTTTTTTCTGTGCTCTGACTCTATAGACAGTTATATGTTAGAATCATCCTGGGGCAGGGCGTACCTTGGTTGATGTGTTGCATCAATTGTCTAAATTAAATTTTCAATGTTGGTGTAGGTTGGAAGTTAAGTTTGTTTTCAAATATTTCTGCATCTACAGCAAGCACACTGTATTGTCTATAGGACTAGAAACTGCACTTATAAGCAATGGTATAAATTCAAGTTTGGGAGTTCCTTTCCATTAATTTATACCAAGGTGAATTTTTTAAGAATTCTGATCTAAACCCTTTATTTTGCCGATGCTCATTTTGATCACAGATTAAGCAATAGGCTTTATTTAATGTTTTCTTGTTGTCCTTAGGGTGCACTTTCCTTGACAGATGATTTAGCTCTCAATTGACCATCAACACTGCAATTGTTTATATGCACAGATTTTATATGCAACATTCTTTCACAAGGTTTCATAGAAATGTAAGTGTTTTCATTTTCTTTACTGAGCAGAATTTGGTAGCACTGTTGGTTAATTGATTTTTGCACCTAACAGCAAAAGATCTTGTGAAGACATGAGGAATTTGTGATTCATTGCAGTTTTAGTTATGGAATAGATACAGTAATGTGGTTCTAATGATCTGTAGAGTATATTTTAACCAATACAATGGTTTTGTCATAAATTAATGTGTGCACCCGGTATTTTGAGAACTTTTCTCACTGACCCAATTTTAATGCTTAATAATTGGTATAACCCCAGAGTGAGTTGTGGTGGGTGAGAGCCAGTGGTTTAATCTACAGATATTCTGATGATTCTGAGGATGCAAATGTATGTACTGGATCCTCACCTTTGCTCACGGGACTGTGCTCCCAATGTCTCTGCTTAACAGTCATCCATTACTGTCTCAGCTTGAGCTTGTGACCCTTAGAGATCCTGACCCACAGCCTGGGAACTCCTGACATACATTGCTTGTCCTATAAAAATCTTAATGAACACTTATGCAGGTAAGAAGTGTCTTTGCAGTGCAAATGTCTTTTTTTATAAAAGTGAGGTAATTCATTTTCCATGTTCTTTCAAGAAATGAAAGAATATTTAAGGCCAACAGAATTGGAAGTCATTTCCTGAGGAGTGTAGTTGTTAACAAAATTAGGATCAGTATGCAAGTGCATGTTTTAAAAATATCAATTTGTACCTGCTGCACAATGCTTCCACAAGCAAATGCTTTTTGGAGAATGATGCTACCAAAAATCCACTTGTGTGTTTTATTTTATTCATTTGTATATGATGAGTTTCCGGTCACGTGGTTGTGTTAGCATCTTGTTGATTAATTGTAGTGCTGTAAGTTTGTGTATTCTGGATGCTGCTAGGTATACATCTTAATGAAGTTACTCCTCCGCTTGGTATAATTTTGTGTATATATGGGTTACTTGAATTTATGTTGCAGTCTGGCCTCTGGGTGAAAAAACCAAAGGCCAGATTGGGCAGTATGGGAACAATGCTTTTTAAAAAATATTAAATTGGCCTAGGCAAGAAAAATTTAAAACCTTAGGATAATGCAACAAGGTGCAAATTTGTATTTCAATGGAATTTTTTAGTGAGTTTATTCACAGGAATTTAATGTCCAAGCCTTTTTTCAGTTTGTATGTGAGGGAAATCATAAATAATTTGTCCTTTAAAGCACAGACATTTCAACATGACATTGTTACACAAATGCAAGTGTATTGCTGCCAGTCTTGAAGCCCAACAGAAATTGGATCACATGACCATCCCATCCCATTAACCATAAGGTATCCTGCCTGAATCAAGTGCTAATTTTTCTCTTTTCAAATAACTTGTTTTACACGAAAACAAGACTAGCTTTTTGCTCCATCTGCAGCATACAAGTTGAAAGTCTTCAAAAGGTTTCTGAATTTCAGTACATCTTTGTGCTGATACTTCCAGCTGAATCACTTTGGCTACTCAAAGTTGATTGATCAAGTTGGATTAAATTTTACCAGTTTGACGCCTGTAATCAAGATCTGCAATCTTTGTGGATCTATCCTGGGATTATTCTAACACTTGCCTGTGTTTTTAATCAGTGCAGGCTGTTGTAAACTTGGCAGAATGATCTGGCAAGTATCAGATCTGCTGAAAGGAAATCCATTGGATCAGCATGCTTTTCCTTGTTTCTTTATGAAGCGGTGACACTGAATGCCAGTTCACTGAAGAAGTATACCGTCAGCAAGAAAGAGAATGTGTTCAATGCAGCCCACAGTTTTAATTTTCTCATTCTTAAGACTTAGTTGGTGGGAATTAGAGTATACCCACATATCTGCATTCCTGTCAGCAACTTACTCAGCTTCAAGGCTATACTGTTTCTGTGGTGCTGTCTGGCATAAAAGCAACGGTTAATGTATTAGCATTGGCATCAACTGATAAGACATTGCCATAAATTGCGTAGCGATCATTTGGCTTGGCTTAACATTAGTGATGCAAATGGATCACGTGAGAATGTCCTTTTTTATTTTAATCTGGCAAGAAATGAGGTACCTCACCCTTGTATATTGATTCCTCATCACAATCTGTTTACCTGTAATGCATTTATTTGATCCAGTTCCAGAGGACCCTGCCAAAGTAGAGATTCTCTTATGGCTTTTGTGAATCGATCTTGCTGCGTTGCACGTGTTCCATCTACCGTACTACTTTGAGAACTTGAGTGATGTACAGGCCTAATCAACAGTCCAGAGATCCACTACCCAGTGAACAATTCTCTTTATTCACCTGTCCTGGATTTCTGTACTGAGGTCTTGAGTCATCCTTCCAAGGAAATTTGTTGCTTTCTTGAAAGTTGAAAGCACTGCACAGATTGCAGTAAAAGTTGAATTGCTCAAGGAACATCTTAAATGAGATTAATATCTTACACTTCAGAGCCTCCCTTAAGGTGTGAAACGATACATTTCTCAGGACAGTCTTGTAAAACCCTCGTTCTGGTGTTAAGTAAATATTTTCCACTGCTGAAAATCTTCTGATGTTGGAACGATTTTATATTTTGGTGCTATGATTCCTTGTGTGATGCAATTTCACAAAGGTACTTCATTTCTGAAGTGGGTGCTCTTTGAATGAAGGTTAAAGATTTGTTGCAGTATGTTCCCTACCAGAATTACCCAAGAGTGAGCTGCCCATGTGCAAGGTGAAAGAGCACAAATCTATGCCCTACCACATTCTTCTTGGCACACAAGTAGACTTTTCCTTCAGTCGTCTTTAGCATTATTCTCCAGTGATCGAGTGAACAACTTATTAGCGGTAGTCTGGATAGGTGATGCCACCTAATGAGATATGCAAACAAGCAGGATGTGAATTACTCCTGACTTTTGTCTCGATACCATGCAGATATGGCATTTGTGTCACAACTTCAGTCCTTTCTGCTCAACAGCTTGCAGGCGTGCAGAATATCGCTGTGGATGCTCTTGAGGATGGACAGTTCGGCTGCAGCAACAGAAAATCAGGAGACAGCTCAGCACTTGACAGGTGGGGTTTTCCAGCAAGGGATATTATTGACTGCATTTCAGATTAGAAGTTTGCTATTATATTGCAGGTGTGGATGCTCCAGGGTTAGAATTTGATGGCAGAACTTATTTGCTCCTAACCGTGCACCCGAAGATCAATCGTCTTTGGAAAAGTCAGTCTTAAAATCCCATACTGGCTAAGAGACCCATGGATGTGGCTGATTGCTCGATCAGCAAAGCTTGCATACATGACATGAGGAAAGCCAGTTTTACCATTTTCTTGGTTGCCATAATTGACGACGGTTTGGCCTTGAAGGCAAGCTGTTCTCTGTGGTGATTACCACTTGACCTTTGAAAACTTCTTCAAATGTGCATTGCCAAATCAAAGTGGTTCATGTTTTGAAATCTTTAATGCACTACTATAAGGTTTGGATCTAGTTGCTGTTAAAATTTAATCCAGTTGCGTACCTATGTTAGGAAACTTCCATTTGCAAACGCTTGGCAAACAATCTACACATGAAGTTCCATTCTCTTTCTGCTCAAAATTGTTTAAAATATATTGAGGTTTACTTTTTTTCACCTTGGTCTGTAGGTAGTAAGTGACATGTTGTTCGGTATGTGACACTTGTGTAAAGTGGTTGAAGTGTAGAGTGGCTTCCTTACTAAGTTGTCCTCCTCGGTGCCAAATTCTGATTCGGAGAATTTGCATTAAGTAGTGTGATGTCACTTCCTTGGGATGTCTCAGTGCTTCACAGTTGCTATCTGAGCAAGTGTGACCACTAATGCGCGCAAAGACCTACCAGCAGCAAATCAGTTCAGTGAATATTTGATTTTTCTTTCTGTCCTACTTCAGTGAGCACTTTGGACCAGATAATTCTGCTCTTTGAATAGCAGGATCTTTGCGTTAGCTGGTATTTGTGAATTAAACTGAAACTCCACCTACTAGAACAGGTTGGCGAGGCCTTGGTGTAACATCTCACCTGGAGACTTGGGCAATGCCTTCATATATTCATTTCATGTTGGAATTTCTATTTTCGACTTTCAGGTTTTATTTCAAAATCTGAAGGTAATTCAGCTACTTCACGGATTTACTAAGTATCTAGCACTTGATCATTCATGTGAAATGTAAAGGAAGCCTTTGTGAATTGAGGTTTTAACCTCACGAAAAAATGTTTTGCCTTTTCAATGAATAAGATGTTGGAATGTGTTGTGTATAAGATTTGTATAGCCCTAGGCTGTGAATGCAGAAAGCAGAACTTGAAAGCTAGATTTCTGCTTTTGCAGTGTTGGTGATTTTTGAGACTGCAATATCATTTACATTTAACTGTAGTGCTCCATCCATTTAGTGAAGTTTGTAATTGGTTTAGCGATTAGTTTTTGAAGCCATTAGGAGCATCTCAGGAAAAAGTAGAACCTGAGCATATTTGAATATGCAAACATTGACTAGAATGTTCCACTGGGATATATAATGCTTGTGTGATTTAGCAACAAGCTTGAGAAGGGACATTTCTGAACTTGAGTATTCTACTTTTAATCGTCATAGTGGTGTTCAGTTGCAAAGAGAGGGTTATGCAAAAAGGCTTGCCATTAACACAAAGGGATATCCATCCCAAAGTTTTCTATTGGCACACAAACAGTAAAAGTATGATAAAGGGAAAAGTAGGATTTCTAACGGGAGATTGTGTTTAATTTGGTGGGTTTGTTTCGGAAAGGTGACATTTAGATGGTAGTGTTTTTGTGGTGTATGTGGGCCTCGGATGCATTTCGTACAATGCCGCACAACTTGGAAAGTTGTAGCACAGGATAGCTAGGATGGTAGCAACATTCATGCAAAACTGGCTGAAGGATGGGAAGCAAAGATTGGTTCATAGAGATTCCTCTGGCAGGTTTGCAGTGGGGTTCCCCAGGGACCCTTTCTCTTCCTAATTATCTAATAATGGTCTAGATTTTGGTGTGTCAGGAACAATTTCCTAATCTGTGGATGATAAAATTTGGCTGCACTGTAAATTGAAGATAATGTAAAACTACAAAACCAGTCTTTCTCACATTGAATATCATTTGGCCATTCCAGCAACTTGTCAATGCAGGGCAGTTAGGGATGTTGAATTTGGGTAGAAGAGAAGCGTAAAATGATGGGCACTGTCCTAAAAGGTGTGCAGGAGCAGAGATCTCAAGTGTATATATTTGCATAAACTAATAAAGGTGGCAGAACAGGTGGAGTGAGCTGTCGCTAAAGTATCCCAGGCTTTATTAATATGGACTTTTAGAGTACTGGATCAACAAACTTATGTTGAACTTTAGGAATTCCTAGTTAGATTTCAGTTTGAGGTTTGTGTACAGGTCTGAACACTATACTTCATGAAAACGGTGTACACACTGGAGAGTGTGCAGATTTACTAGAATGGTTCCAGGGTTGACAAACTTCAGTTATGAGAATACATTGGAAAACTTGGGATTCTTATTCTTGGAGAGGGGAAGCCATAAGTTGGCATTTGATAAAGGTTTTCACAATCATGAAGGGGATGGGCTGAGTTGATGGGGAGAAACTTCACTCAAAATGATTAAGAACCAGGATCACATAGGTAATTTGCAAAAGAAGCAAATGCGATGAGAATAAACTTTGCGTACCAAGTAGTGTGTGTCTGGAATGCACTGCCTGTGTTGGAGGGAGGTTTTAGTTAGAGGATGCCCTAACAAAGCCATAAAGGCACAGTCATAATGCTTGTTGAGAGCCTCTGCAGGGACAATGGGCTGAACAGCCTCCTGCAAGGTAAAAATTCTGTTAATTGCACAAGCCTGTAACCCAAACTAGGGGCCCTAATCTAAAAGACGAAGAACTGTGGATGATGAAAATCTGACATAAAAACACATTGCTGGAGAAATTCAGAAAGTTTGTCATCACAGAGAGAAGGAAGAATCAATGTTTCAGATTCAGTGATCCATCTGCAGAGCTTTGGCTCTAACGTAAATGATTTTAGGTGATAGATCGACTTTGTAGGGGAAGGAGTTTGGGTAAATCCATTGAAAAGAAATACTGTCGGGTGTAGTTGGCTGTCAATTTTCAGGCTACAACAACTTTATGAAGTTCATTTGAGGTTTCTTCCAATGACCCCTTTTTCAGGCAGTACCTGGCATGCAGATTAATCCATTTACTTTTACAGCTTTGCTGAAAGCCAGCTAGGTCTTCAGCATCCCTCAAACAGTCCTTAGTCTACTTGATTAATTTTTAATCTGTTGAAGTGGAGTGAATGAAAATATTAAATTGAAAACAAGGTATTCCTACTCCGGTGATGAAGCTCAGCCTCCATTAAAACCATTTATTCGTTGTATTGTCTGAACTGAGATGAGAAAAAAAGTAACTGCCATTGGAATGATTTTAGAACTAAGTGCTAAGGTAAGTGTTTTGAACTTCATGCACCTATTTAACTGATCTTTTCTTCGGAAATCATTTGGTTTTAGAGTGGGATTTTATTTACATGCATACAGCATGTTTCACTGACAGTATTTTATGTAATATGACAATAAGGGGTGACTTCAGGGTCTAATTTAGGAACAGTGCAAAGGCAGTATCACTATTGAGGTTTGCATAATATCATCTACAAATATGCCAGAATTGAATCTTTCCATCTTTGCCTGTTTAATGGTGTTTAAAATTTATACTAAAAGGTGACGTGGCTTTTTTTTTAAAAACACTACATTTCAGAAGAAAGGCTTTAAAATGGCATTAAGTGGAAGCAAGCTCCCATGTTATTTGACAGTTTAGACAATGTTTTTGATTTAAGACCAATAACATTTCAAACATTTTTGATCAAAGTGCACAATAATACTTCTAAGTAACTAAGAACGTAGGAGGAGGCCATTCAGCCCCTTGAGTCTGTTATGCCGTTCACCTGATTATGCTGATCTGTGGCCTAACTCCATATATCTGACTGACTCAAATCCCTTAATACCTTTGCTTAAACAAAAAATTCTCAGATTTTTAAAATTAACAACTGATCCAGCATTCACTGCTGCTTGTGGAAGAGAGTTCCAAACTTCTGCCAACCTTTTGTGAGTAGAATTGCTTTCTCATCTCCTGAACGGTCTAGCCCTAATTTCCAGATTATGCCCCCTAGTTCTAGAATCCCCAACTAGTGAAATAGTTTACCCCCTGTCCTTTCTCTTAATATAGTGCAGACTTCGATCAGATCACCCCTTAACCTTCTAAATTATAGAGAAAACCGGTCTAATTTGTATAATCTCACCTCAAACTGAAGTGCAAGTGACATTCTATTCTGTACTCCTTCCAAGGCCAATATATCCCTCCTAAGGTGTGGTGCCCAGATCTGCACTCTCTACTCCAAGAAGGTGTAACTGGGGTTTTGTATAACTGCAGCATAACTCGTGCCCTATGACTCCAGTCCTCTGGATATGAAGGCCAGCTACTTTGACAATTTTTGCACGTGTTTGTGACATTTTAAACATCTATGCATCTGAACCCCCAAGTCTCTTTGTTCACATCCGCTGATTTAACTTCATATCATCTAGAAAGTAGCCTGATCTATTCTTTTTTGGTCCAAAATGGATCACCTCATTGGCATACATTGAAATCTATTTGCCACAGTTTTGCGCATTCATTTCGTTTTTTAATATCACTTTGTAATTTTGTGCTATCATCTACACTGCCTACGACACCATCTAAATGTATCATCAGCAAATTTGGATAGATAACTTTCTATGCAATTATCTAAATCACTATGTAATGTGAATAGTTGAGGCCGTAATACAGACATGTAATTAACATGGAAATGAAGTTTTATTTGACTTTTTGCTAGATAGTCTCTTTTTTTTCTTTTAAAGCATTTAACATTTGTAAATTCTTAACAGGTTATTTCCCCTGCTGCTTTGTTCTTGGCTGCAAAGGTAGAGGAACAGCCACGTAAACTTGAGCATGTCATAAAAGTGGTGCATGCCTGCTTGAATCCTCAAGAACAGCCACTAGATGTTAAGAGTGATGTAAGTTATAAATGCTTTGGTGATATTTAAGGTACAAATGCAATGTTGAAATTTTGTATTTTTAAATTAAAACATAACACCTTTCATCTGCAAAATCTATCACGATCAGTGATTACTTTAGCACTGAGTACAGCTACAAGTTCTAATTGTTCAGCAAAATTACAAATGTGGTCTAGTGTTGTAACTTTGCAGAATAGGTATTTATTTACTATCTACTTGTAGAAAAGCACTGCTGTTGAGAGATGAAGGGATGAGCTTGTTTGCTTATGATTCTACTGTCCAAATTGATCTCTAATACATATTCTTCAAATCACAGGCATACCTTCAACAAGCCCAAGATCTGGTCATACTTGAAAGTATTATTCTGCAAACCTTGGGTAAGTTCGAATAAATGCTTGGATTACAGTGATTTACTATGATTTCAAGGGCAAAAAATGTAACTTCACAGATGCGAAGACCTTGTGGACTAGTCTTGTTGATGCTTTACATCTTGCACCAACATTCTTGTGTTAGGGTTCGTATTTATTGTGCTGTAGCTTTAAAAGAAGCTGCTAAGTTAGGCTTCATTCAACAATAGTTTCTACAGTTTTTTTATCTTGACTTTTTAACGACTTTTGGAGCTGTAGCTTTTGGCCAGCCATCCTCACCCTGAAGTGGTGAGTTGGTTTCTTGAAACAGCTTTCTAAGGGAGTGGTGTTCCCATTAGTGTTAGAATTCAAGGAATTAGGCTTAAACAGGATGAAAGAGTTATTGTATGTTATTGTCAGGGTTGTGTGAGTTGATGTCATAATCCTACAGCTGTCAAGCTTATCAGTAGAAGGCCAAGGGGCTTGGTGCTGTCAAATTGAGTTTGATTTGTAGAGTACGTATGTACTATATCAGCACCACAGTAATTTTTTTGTTACATTGTTGGATTAATTGTTTTTTCCCAACAATTTGCCTTAATTGCCTTGGTCTAACATTTTAGACCATAATGCACGGTTGCAAAGCCACAGAAATGATTATTTACAGAGGTAGTGTCATCGCACACAAATTCAGCTGCCTTGGCCTTGGAAGAGGGGTAGTGAATGACAGTGATGTAGTGAAGTTTATTGTTCTGTTACGAGCTGGTTTTTGTGATATTACATAACAATGAGTGAAATAATTTTACTTTTCCACTATTAGTGAAACTTAATTTTCAGATGCTAGTAATTTTACAAGTTAGAAGTTAGCATCGTAAATCAGCATTATGAAAAGGGAAAATAGTCTGATTTTAAGACCTTCAATGACTTTTGCTTAGTTATTGCTCCCAATTTTCGTGGACAGTGAATACATCTATAATTCGGAACCTAGCAACAGAGGATTTTTTAAAAAAAAGGACAAGAGGAAAAAATAGCCTGAGGGCAAACTAGCAAAAAATCTAAAAACTGACAATAGGAATGTCTTTAGGGATATAAAAAAGGAAGTGGGATGTCAAAATGAATAAAGCTCCCTTAGAAAATGAGCCTGGGGAGACAGTTATGGGGAACAAGCAGATGGAATTATGTCCTCGAAGTAGTATTAGGCCCATTAGTTTGTCTAAAGGCAGATAAGTGCTCTTGACCTGATGGCTTGCATTGTAAGATCCCAAAAGAGGTATATGCAATAATTGGTACTTTCCCTGAAAGGATTTTTGGAAAATCACAAAGGTTAGAAAGCTGCTGATATTGCATCCGTATTCAAAAAGGAAGAGAAGCAAAAAAATGGGTAATTACTGGCTGGTTAATCTAACATATATTGTTTGAAAAGTATTGAAATCAATTATTAAGGAAGTGGTATCATAACCTTTGGAAAAGAATAATCTCTTCAAGCAGAGCCAGCGTGGGTTCATGGAAGGGAAATAGTGTCTGCTTAACTTGCATTTTTTTTAGAGGTCTATTGTGTTTGCACTTCCAGAAGGTGTTTGACAAGGTATCTCACAAAAAGTTAAGTCATAAGATAAGAACCCAGGGCGTTGGAGGTAGTATATTGGTATGGATAGAGAACTGGCTAATCAACAGGAAACAGCGAGTGAGGAGAAGGGCTTAATTTTCAGGTTGGCAACGAACAGTGTTGTTCTCAGGAGCACTAATTTAAGACTGAGATGAGTAACTTCCTCAGGTTGTGAATCTTCGGAACTCATTATTCCCACAGCTTGCAATGGCAGAGTCTTTGTATTTAAGGCTAAGAGATTCTTGATCAGTAGAGAATCAAGGGTTATGGGAAAAAGGCAGGAAAGGGGTGTCAGGAGTGGCAGATCAACCATGATCCTGCCCACTGGTAGCGTAGGTTCAAGGGGCCTATCAGCCATCTCCTGTTTCTATTTCTTACGGTCCATTGCTGTTTATTCAATCGTTTTGTAAAACATCTACGTGCATTTTTTGTACAAGTTAATGCATTTAATGAGTGGCAATTTATTGTGATGTGCTTATTCAACAATACGGTTGCTATTCAGTTCTTCCTCTTCACAGAATCGACACTCCTACAGAGGACAACAATTCATTTAAATACTGAAAAAAGACATTTTGTCAAAGATTTTCATACTTCATAACAGTTTCCAAGCAGATCAATAAATGGAAAACGTGGTATCATGTTGAATTCATATATAAAATTAATCATTTGTGTGACAGGCAGAACGTTTTTGGGTTGATGGCAGCAACTTGTTAGTAGTAAACACCACTCAGGTTGCTACAGCACACTGACAACGCGAAACATCTAGCTTAACCTATTGCTCAGTTTTGAGATAATTTGTCTAGGTGATTGGAGGTATACTGAGCACTTTCACAGAACTAAATATGACCGTCATGGGGTTTTTATTGAATTTCTGAGAGGATATGATTCAGATAGACATTGTTTTGCAAGATGGCTTTGTATCCTGTTTCAGCATCAAACCTGCACAGTGAGCTAATGGCTGAGACCCTGTTTATAGGGCAAATATAATAGGACATGGGCCTATAGAAATCCCAACATGTATTATGCTGACAAAAGTATGTTCACAAAAGACAACGTTCCCTCTAATTTTCTTACCTGCTGCTGAGGCCCTCAACAGCAGCAACATCTGGAAACAGAAGCTGCGATTAGAATGCTGGTGCCTGTCGTCAAATGCAAAACATCAGAGGGGGGTGTGCGCGTGCTCAGCTTAGAGGAAACTGGAAGACAGCAGAATGAATTTTAAATTTTTGTAACTGTACTTGCATCTACAACTTCCGCTGGCACTCCATTCCACATATGAACCGCCCTCTGTGAAAAAGTTGCCCCTCTGGTCCCTTTTTAAATGTTTCTCTTCTCACCCTAAGCATCAGTTGCTGAGTTCATAGGTTCAGTCTATATTGTCTTATACAGCATTTGCAAGTCTACATCATAATATAGTGCTGCTGATGCCTCTGCTTCTTTGTGGTACATTGGTGATTAGGTGAGCAATTTCAAACAGACACTGCGTTGCTTTCGCTATGCAAGTCCTGTATGATCTTCAGAAATGCGAAGGAGTTCTTTGCTGAGTGGAAAATCTGCTCAAAACTGTAGCAATTCACCTAACATTTGGCCAGTTGGCTGGAAACTGATATCACTTGTGCTTTGGATGATTTGGACATAGGCTTCATTCTCATGGCTTACTATCACCTGGCAGTCTGCTGCTCTTGGAACTCTTTTAACTTGCTTTCGACTAGGAATGCCTGGTCATCCTGAGCATGAATTGAACAACTCTTTTAGGATTGTCGGTCAGGGTTGCAGTCTTGCATATTTCAGAGTCACTTAGCAGTTAGCACTCCTCTCCCAGATGTTAATTTTACCCTTTATTAGTGTTCTTGCAGGTTGTCCTGATGAGTGCAAGACCAAAAGCTTTGATAACATAACTTACCAAACGCTAACTTATTTAATGGTATGGATTTTCTATCATAATTGCTATTCATCATGTTATTTTCTGGGTCATTCAATGTTGAATCTTGCAAGTACTGCCCTACTTTTGGGGGAAATGGTTCTACAATAATAAATTCAGGTTTCAAATATATGACGATCCTTCGGAGTGACTGGTACCTGCATTGTTTTTACTTCAAAACTTCAATCATGTGAAATTTATTCTGGACTTGCAAATGAGGCTCATCTTTTATTTTTTTCTGCTCTTATTTCAAAATCAATTTTGTTTAGTGGCCTGTGCAGACACTGGTCACCAACCAGTAATGTTCCCAAATTGCCATTATTCATAGCTTCAGGCTATTTCATTGTTTGGGCCATGATTTGTCTCATTCTTCTCGACCAAAGGTCGTTTCCTAATATAAATAGCTACATAGTGATCAGGACTGGAACTTTGAATTTTTGTTACCTTATCTAAACAAGAGAACATAAAGTTGAATTAGAAAGCAAGGAAATAAGTCTTGACACTGTTTTGAGTTCAGCTAGAATTGAAAGGTACAACTCTTGTAACTTGCATAAAGATCAAGATGTTGTTCGGATTAAGAATTTACAATGCCTCTAATATCGATAGGAAAGCATGGCACACATCAAATGTACGACTGATTTACAACTAACTGTGTGCAGATAAGTATCTGCTTCTCTAGGAACTTCCACAAGACTTTATTTTAAGGCTGTCTGCATTTCCGGCACTGTACCCTAGAGCAGCAAATTCTCAAATGACTTTCTGGTACAGCAAGGCAAATCTTTACAGTTATGGTTGATATCTTCATCTATCTAAAAACACACTGTACTAAGGTTCAATTGCTCAGAAGAATAACTGCAGTCAGTATCTGGTGTTTTGCTGGTGCCAATCCGAGGTCCTGCTATGTGTTGTCTGGCTGGGAGGATTATGGGTGGTTGTAGCATGTTTTGCCGTAAACAGACCTTATTGCAAACTCCTTGCAGTTAGGCTTCCCTGACCAGTAGATAGCAAAGGACAAGAGGACTTAGCGAATAACCTGCTATTCGTCAAGAGACTTTGTTTGTTTCTTTCCACTTTGTATGTTTTACAGCATCAGTAACATGTCACCATTAGTACATGGCTGCGTCTTGCTACATATCCCCACAGTAACTGTGTTGTGATCTATAGATCTTGTTCTCTCCACATAACTCAAGTTCTACATATTCGTACAACATGATGAAAGCAAGTTTCAGCCTTTTGAAGAACCTTTGTTTCAGTGGTGGTTTGTTAAACGTTATGTATTCAGCTACCATGTTTATTAGAGTCATAGAATCTTATAACACAGAACCAGACCCTTTAGCCCAACTTATTCATGCTGACCTGGTTTCTTAAACTGAACTAGTCCCATTTGCCTACGTTTGGCCTATATCCTACTAAACCTTGTCTATCCATGTACCTGCCTAAATGTCTTTTAAATGTTGTAATTGTACTCACCACTACCACTTCCTCTGGCAGCTCATTCCATATATGTACCACCTTCTGTGTGGAAAGATTGACCCACAGGTCCATTTTAATTTTTTCCCCCTCTCACCTTAGACCTATGCCCTCTAGTTTTGTACTGTTCTACCCTGGGGAAAGGACTTTGGCTATTCACCTTCTCTGTGCCCGTCATGATTTTATAAACCTCTGAGGTCACAGCTCATTTGTCCTGCAGAATGTGGAAAATTATTTGCCTGGTGGTTTTCAATCTTGAGATGATGTGCATTCTATGGATGTAATTTTTTCCATAAATGCTATGTAGGCATCACTTGCAAGACTGGTGTCTTATTGTCTTTCAACATATCAAAGTAGGTTGCCATGAATGCTGATGCGATGAAGGCACAAGCATTAAACATATTGTGGGGCTATCGTGATTTGAGGCTAGGTAGAGTTTGAGGGGGTATAGTATTCAGTAACTTTGAACTGGTATGTTGTTCCAAGCCTTAAGACAGTCCTGTTGTGCACTATGTGCAACATTGTTGATCATGCAAAAGCATGATACTTGTGTGTGCAGCACGTTGTCTGTCAAGAGCCTGTCAAATTGGATCATATTCCCTCAAGTTGTAGTGATTGCATCTCATTCAAACCTGAATAAACTTGCAGTCAGCTTCTCCTAAAAGTCTGCAAATTCCTATTTTGATATTCTGTTTGAAAATGAATTGAGCTTAAATGAACTGATTTTAATTTTACAGGTTTTGAGATTACTATAGAACACCCTCATACTGATGTGGTGAAATGTACCCAGTTAGTGAGAGGTAAGTCTTTTCTCTTTTAATGGTAAATATACATTACTCAAAACATCAGTTGTCTAATTATTCAAGTTGGGAATGCTTTAAACTAACTTGGCTGGGGCGTGGGAATGAACAAAGATGTTAAGCAATTAGCAGGGCTCTCAAAATGCTTAAGATACAGCTGACTAGTGTTTTAAAAAGGTAAGATAATTATTGAAGTTAAACTAGAGTAGACAGAAAGTCCAAAACACTGTTAATGTGTGAAATAAAGTTGGGGAGTTACAAATGTAGATTACAGTATAGAATTATCCGTCAGTGATGGATACCTGGGTCAAGGAAGAACAAGACTGAGCCTTAAATATTCTTAAGTACAAATTGTTCAGGGCAGATGGAAAAGAAAGGAAAGGGAGAGGTTAGTAGTGTTGTTTAAGGGCGGGGGGGCTAAGGCATTAGAGCTGAGGAAGGCGAATGTTTCAGTGTTAAAGGATGGAGACAATTTGGCTAGAGCTATGGATTAAAAAGGGAAGAATAATATTGCTCGGTATAGTCTACAGACCACCAACTAGTGGAAAGGCTATAGAAGAAAAATATCTGTAACAAAGTTATAGAAATGCCAGGATTTCAGGAAGAGTAGCCTACAGTTGTATGTCCAACTGCTCTTGGACTCTGAGGTGGTTTGAGAAGACTGGAGAATTGCCAATGTTATGGCTTTGTTCAAAACATGTTGTGAGGTTAATCCTGGCAATTACAAGGAAAGATCCATTATTGGAAATGGTCTTTGGAAATGAGGTGGGCCAAGTGGCTCAAATGTCAGTGGGTAACATTTAGGAGGTGGTGACCATTGTATCATAAGGTTCATGTTGGTGTTGGAGAACTACATGCAACAAACGGAGCGAGGAAATTCAGTTGGGGATGTGACATCAGTGGGGCTAGGACAGAATTGAGCAGGATTGATTGAAATAGGAGATTGGTGGGAAGACCAGTGACTGATCAATGAGCAGATGGTTTGGGTACAACTGAATTGCATTTCCTCCAAGGTAGGCTAAGTCCAGTGTTTACTGAATAACCAAGAAGGTAGAAATTAATATTAGGAAAAAACTGCTTATTGACAGGAGTAAGTCTTAAATACAATTGAAAATCAACAGAAATACCAAAGGTTTGAGGGGAGGTGAAAAGGAAAATAAGAAAAGCAGAGTGGAACTATGAAAAAAGACTAGCAGATAACGTGAAGGCCAATCCCTAAGTCTTTGGGTGTATAAACAGTGAGAGATGGGTTAAAGGAGCTGAAGGGCCAATCAGAGACCAATAAGGGGATTTACAGATGGAGGCAGGTTTCAGGGCTAAGGTATTAAATTAACATTTTGCATCTCGTACAAAAGAGGAGGATGGTGACAGGAAGAACCCATGTCACTAGAAATGTTCAAATTTAGAAGAAATATTGGATGGATTGTTGGCACTTAAAGTTAACAAGGCACCAGGACAAGATGGGACGCATCCAAGGGTTTTGAAGGAGATGAGAATAGAAAGTATGGAGGCACTGGCTGTAATATTTCAGTCTTGCCTGGACTCGGGTGGTGTCAGAAAACTGGAGAATTCCCAACATTATGGCTTTGTTCAAAACAAGGTTGTATGGATAATCCTGGTAATTACAGACAAGTCTTACTTTGGTAATAGGGAAACTTTCAAACAGTTATTCAGGATAGAATCATTAGTCACATGGAAGAAGGTGAGCTGATTAGGAAGAGTCAGCATGGATTTCTAAAGGGGACATAATGTATGACTAACTTCTTGGAGACCAACATTTTGAAGAGGTTTGAAAGGGTTGATGAGGGTAATGCTTATGATGTGGTATACAAAGATTTCCAGAAGTAATTTGGTACAGTTCCTTACAACAGTCTTGAGGAAAGTTGAGAGTCATTGTATTTAAAGGGTCAATATGAATACAAAATTGACAGTGTTAGAAATCGGAGTAATGATCGGTAGAAACATATCCAATTAGCGGAATGTTTGTAGTGGAGTTCCCAAGGGTTTGTTTTGGGACTATTGCCTTTCTTGATGTATATTAATAATCTGGATCTTGGCATGCAAGGGACAATTTCCAAATTTGCAGATTACACAAAACTTGTAAATTGCCAGGAGGATAGTGTGGAACTTCAAAAGGACATTGAAAATTTGATGGACGGGTGGTTAAGTGGCAAATGGGCGTTCAGTGCAGAGAAGTGTTTTGCGCTTTGTTCAGAAGAATACAGAGCCAATATAAGGACCTGAGTGTTTTTGAGCACAGAACGTGGTAGGACGTGTGGAGCAATTAATGTCATGTTGTCAGCTTTATTAATAGGGGCATAAAGAGCAAGGAGGTGATGTTGAACTTGTACAAGACATTTGCCAGACCTCAGCTGGAGTATTATTTAACAGTGTAGGCACCATGTTATAGGACAGATGTAAATGTCTTCTCAATGCGTTCACTAGCGTGTTTCCACATATAAGAATCTTCAGCTATGAGGATAGTTTGAAGAAGTAGGGATTGCTCTCCCTAGAGTGACGGCTGAGAAGAGATCTGATAGAGGTTTTCAAAATCATGAGTGGACTGGACAGAGTAGATAGGATGAAGCTGCTTCTGCTTGTAAAAGAATCCAAAATAAGAAGGCATAAGGTGGTGTGGAAACAAAGCAAGGTAATGTGAGGAAAAAAACTTTTCGCACAGCAAGTTAAGGTATGGAATGCCCTGCCTGGAAATCTGGTGGAGTCAGGTTCTGTTGAGGCATTCAAAAGGGCATTGTATGTTTTTTTTTTGGATAGTAATGGTGTGCAGGTATATGGGAAAAGGCGGGAGATCGGCACTAGGTGAAAAAGCTGAACCAGATAATAGAGCCGATGCAGGCACAATGGGCCAAATGGCTGCCATCTATACGTAATTGGTTTTGACACTCTGTGAAGTACACAGAACAGTACTTATTTTGAACTTAATACATGATGTCCACAGTCTTTAGTTTTTCCTTCAGCTAATTCTGTTTTTATTTTTATTTTTGTTACAGCAAGCAAGGATTTGGCACAGACATCCTATTTCATGGCTACCAACAGGTTGTTATCCTGACCCTCTTTGTTGCACTGTTTCAGGCACACTATTGCTTCCCTTACTGCAGGGCCCCCTAAAAAGTGTCTCAAACCCTTGTTGCAACAGAGAAATGTCCTTCCATCTACTGTGATGGTATCTCTCTGTTTGCAGTGCGGTGTACTGTACAAGGGTATTTTGGGCACTAAGGGGTTAAATGCACAATGAGAAGTGTAGTGGTGCTCTCTGGTTACATTAACTCGATTCTGAGTGCATAACTCTAAAAATTGGTAGCCTGAATAGCAACTAAAGATTACAAAGAGATATACTTAACCTAGAATTCACAAGCATTATGGTAAGTATGAAAGCATTTAACATTTTTACACTTCTCGTTGAATTGCAAAATTTGTTTTCCAAAATTAATTGATTTCTAACAATATTTTGATGTTTTCAGATTAAACATTACAGCACATTTTAAGAACTGCAAGTTGTTGGGTTGTACTTCCAGTTACAATGGAAATTATTCAATGGCCCCTAAAATAACTGGAGATACCAAATGTGGGTAATAAAAATGTTGATGTAGGAGGTTATGTCATTGCCAAAACATTCAAGTATCCTTTTAGTTTATAAGGAATAATGCTTAAAACATTTTATCTAATTTGGTATTTGTAACAGGTTACTTATGAGCTTAATTGAAATGGTTTTTGATGACAGGCATCAGTGTTACCATGTAGCTACTCGTCAGATTAACAATTTGTGCAAACTGATGTTGCGTAAAATATGGTTTGGAATGGAAAAAATGTAGAAATTAGAATAGGCCAAATATGGCTGTTTTGTAGGTCCATATTTTGTGCATACCCACATTTAAATGTATAAACAATCAATGTACATTGGCCTAATAAAAATTGAATCTCAGTTGAATTAATGTCTGAAATTTTCAAAATTGTTTGACTGTAAGAATTTTCCTTACCAGATAGCTATTTTAAACTTCAATGGAAATGAAAGGAATTGTTACGTTTTTGGCCGGAGAGACCTAATTGAAATTGCTACTTAGAACAACATAAACTATCACCACTGTTAAGACTTATAAAGAATGGTCATTAGTAAATATTTTGCAAAGGGTCTGTTCAAGTTTGAGACTACCTAGTAAGGAACATGAAAATAATTTTTCATTAAGCCAATGTATCATGGTGCATATACTACCTCCATTGGACATGTATGACAATTCATCTGTGCTTTATCTGGAGTGAACCCATTTTCAGCTTTATGCTGGAAGTGTGACCCACCTTCTGCAGATACTGATGACTGTCTTTCATTCCACAACTAAAAAGCTTCCTTTTCTTTTCTCTTGTATTTTTTTCCCCCCCATGATTCACCGATCATCAATATTCTCCACTGCAGTTTGCATCTGACAACATTTTGCTTGCAGTACAAACCTACCGTGATAGCGTGTGTGTGTATACATCTGGCTTGCAAGTGGTCCAACTGGGAAATACCTGTATCCACAGATGGAAAACATTGGTGGGAATATGTGGATCCATCTGTAACTCTGGAATTACTTGATGGTTAGTTGTAAATTTGGAGATAACTAGAATTGTAATTTTTACTTAGTAACACTACTGATATGGCATATAAATTTTTGTGCACTAGCACAGTAGAGCAAAATTATTTTATACTGTTGAAAATGTGCTGTGTGATCAGCCCTTAATAATATACACTTTCTGTATCCTTTTCCCACCCTGAACAGTGGTTGGAGTAATTTATATCCTGTATTTTTATCAGAGTGGCTTAGGACCAAGACCCAAAGTGGCAGGCTTTAAGAGAATGTAGAGCATATTGTATGGCAAAACATTGAGGATCTACATTTATTTAGATTATGCATTTTACTCCTTTTCTACCACATAATCCCAAGGTGATATTCAAAAAGCGTTATTGTCAATATTTTTCCAAAGTTGCATGGCTTTGTGATTTATATGTGCCATCTTAATTGAATCTCTTGCTAGACATTCCGCAATGATTTGATAGTGGATCAATTTGAAACACTCTTCAAAATTATATTTCCAAAAAGTAACATACAATATTAAAAGACCCCTTTTAAAACATGTATTTTCAGTAAAAGAACTAGTAGTGTATCTAATTCATCTTCCTGTTGCATAAGATCAAGTTATTTAGCTGTCTGCTCTTAAAATTGCAACCCTAGCTCAAAACTTCCACTGCTTCTAACTTGCAAAAAAAATGAGTTTTGACTGTAAATATACACATTATTGTCAGTACCATGTTTTTATGGCCTAACCTTGTTTTGGATTTTATTTGCAGAGTTAACGCATGAATTTCTGCAAATACTGGAGAAAACTCCAAGCAGATTGAAGAGGATACGAAACTGGCGGGTAAAGCTTCCAGTTTTCAATGTTAATGTAAATTTTTTCATTTTAATGGCTTTTTTTAAAGTATTAATTTCATTTTTGTTTGCTTTCTTTAAAGGCTAATCAGGCTGCAAAGAAACCAAAAGTAGATGGTCAGATAGCTGATAATGTTCTTCCTGGTTCATCTGGGCCCCATGAATCTACGTGTTCTGTTGGTGGTGATCCTGCTTCGAGTACAAATTTTCCTAAATCAAATTCCACAACTGCTCTACCTGCATCATTGAACTCTGGTGGTATTTCAATGCCTGCACATGTCCCTGAGATGATGGCTACTACTTCATTCAGTTCTACCTCCCAGCAAGAGTGGCCTCAGCATCCACACCAGAACATGGAGCAAGTTCATTCTCATAAACAAGATCTGTCAGCACCTGTCAACAAAAATGATGTGATCTGCGCTCAGCAGTCAACTTCTGGACAGTTAGCTCAAAGCCATCATCGATCTGAAAAGGTTTCAGGGCACTCATCTAGTAAACATGAACATCTTAAATCTGGTAACGGCAAACATCATGGATTCCCCCTTCCATCTGTACCAGCTCCTCAAAAATTAGCTTTGGACAGATACAGGGAAAAATTTGCTGCAGAACTTGCAGTACAGAAACGCAAACTAGAAACACTGGAGTCTGATGTGAAAGAACAATATGCTTCTGCTGCTCAAGCCCTGGTAGAACAACAGAAAAAACGTGCACCAGCGCAGCAGCAAATTCAGCATAATAGTAATTCTGTGACTTCACCAATTAAAATGAAAATCCCTATTTCATCAGAAAAATCAGAAAGACATGCAGCTGATAAAAAGGAAAAGGGTTTGCTTAAATTGAGGATACCTATCCCACCGACAGAAAAGGCTTCTAAGGATGAGCTAAAAATGAAAATTAAAGTCCCCTCGTCTGAAAGACACAGCTCCTCAGATGAGGGCAGTGGTAAGAGCAAGCACACCAGTCCACATGCAAACAAGGATCATAAGGAAAAACGGAAGGACCATTCTTCTCACCATCACCACCATAGCAGCCACAAGCATTCGCATAGTAGCAGCAGTAGTGGGAGTAGTAGACATGGTATCGATGGATCGAAAGGAGGAGCTTTGCGGAGTCCCGTGGGTCTGAGCGGTGATGGCAGCTCCACTGGCTCCAGCTCTTCACGCAAGAGGGCGCACGCCAGTGATACCTCTCACAACCACCATCCCAAAATGAGCAAAACCTCCAAGACTGCAGGTACTTCATCTAGCTCTTCTTCCTCTTCCTCTTCTTCTTCCTCCTCTGTGAAGCAGTATATATACCCTTACAACTTAATTCTTAACCTTCCCTCCTCCCCTCCTCCCACTGTCACATACCAGGTGGGCTATGGACAACTCAGCACCCTCATGAAACTGGATAGGAAACCTACAGAGGCCAACGGTCACAACGCCAATCCAGAATACAATGCAAACAGTCAGCACATGGACTACAAAGATACTTACGATATGCTGGAGTCACTCTTAAGTGCCCAAGGAGTGAACATGTAGCCGTCATTCGAAGCCTGTGTTTGAAGTTGGAATTCTCCCTCTTAATTCAGCTGTGACAAAAGTCATTGCTGCCACTGCTTCCATTAGATCTGAGCGCTGCTTCCCCATTCTCCACTTTGATAAGGAGATTAGCGTAAGCATAATCAGAGGTGAATGTTGAAAGGGTTGTGCTCTACATAGTATTATTACAAAACTGTAACTTCTAGCATGAAATGTGCATATTTAATTT